ACTTCGTAACAGTTTTTTAATATTTTAGAGTATAATAGCTCTAATTAAATTTACTTATTATAATCGGGAAATTAGAATCAGTGTTTGTTCGCCGATTATAAATTAAACGGACACGTTAATAGTTTTTTATTTTTATTTTTTTTATTTTTAATATTCGTTTTCGGTACAGAGTAGAGTCAGTGTTTCTCGAAGGAATAAGGCAGTCATCCATCACGCGAAGAGGTAACTATTTTTTTATTATTTTAATATTTTTATATTATCAATATTGTATTGTTGAAAAAATAATTACACATAATATTTTATATTTTGTTAAAGATGCCTGATTTTGCCAGTGTTTATGAACATTTCTATTGGACTTCAATTTTAAAAAATATTTGTGACTGCGTGCAATGCGGTCTGTAGAATCAGTGTTTGTTCCGTAACAGTTTTTTTTTAATATTTTAATGCATAATAATTCTTAATAATTAAATTATCAATATATTGTTCGCGAAATTAGAGTCAGTGTTTCTTCGTCGCTTATGTTTTAAATCGACGCGATGATAGTTTTTTATTTTTTATTTTATTTTTTTAAATATTCGTTTTCGGTACAGGGTAGAGTCAGTGTTTCTCAAAAGAATAGGACAATCATCCATCACGCGAAGAGGTAATTATTTATATATATATTTTTAGTTCAACTTTTTAAAGTAATCAATATTGCATTTTAATTAAAATGTTTGATGTTTTGTTACAGTTTCTACTCCCTGATGATGACTACTTCGGTGATGACATCTGGGGCTACGACAATGCAGATTCTTCGCATCTATTGGTGAGTCGCATGCATTTATGTTCCTCCGATCATTCAATCATGTCGTAGGAAAAAAGTCCGAATCGACACGAGTGATTGGTTGTATACGTAGATTTTTGCACGAGCACAATGACCGCGGGTATTCATCATACCCGTGAATAGTAACATTTCTTTCTTTGTGGTTTATTTATTAGATCAGGATAGATCTTCTTGCACGTCGCGTTTTTAAGATAAT